TCTCCTCGTCCCTCGTACTCTCAATCCCCTTACTCCACCGCCCGCCTTTCGTCGCTTTCTCCTGCTTCCACCTGCCCACCTTCAGTCCATTCACCATCCTCTCCTCTCCTCTACACCCAGCGCCACGCCCCATCGCCAGCCAGTTACAACCACTCCCCTCCATCCTCGGGCGCGTCTCACTATGATCCCTCTCTTCAACCCGTCGTTTCCCCAACCCTTCGACATCATCGCTATGACCATCATGCAGAGCCAATCGCGTCATCCCCAATGCACCTCCCCTCACTCTCCCGCATCTCCCCTGCCTCATCCTCATTTCCACAAGCCCTCTTAAATCCCGTTTCACCGCAACAGTCTCCCCTAGGCGGTCTGGAGGCTCTCGTTCAAGCTGCTGTAGTAGAGCGGGATAGGCTCGAGGCAAAAGCTAGCCTCGATCGCAGGGCAGATGCCTCTCGCTCTACTGTTCGACGTAGCCCTGAACTCTTTCGTTCGCCCCATGAGAGCTCCCGGACCCACCTTCAGCACCCGCGCCCCGCACCCCCATTACACCCTCCCTCATCTCGGGACCTCTTCTACGCGACTCCTATTCAGAGTCGTCGCTCAGGACTGGTCCTGGTCCTGAAGTCCACCCCTCCAAGCGCCAGCGCCCGTCGGACCCCCACCCTGGCCCTGACCACAGCTGGGACCTAACACCGTCCTGGGATTCATCTTCGCCGCTCACTGGGCTGACAGGCCCGGGAATAAAGCCACGCAGGCGGTCCTCCGACGTTCGTACGGAGATGCGCCCTACCGTTCCAATACCCTCGTGGGATAAAGAGGAAGCGAGCGTGGCGGCAAGTCGCGTGTCGCCAACTAGAGAGCGTTCCACAAGAAGGCAATATTCGATGGAAGAGAAGTCTTCTCGGTCTCACGTCCCAAGTTATCGGGAACCAGTCACGTCTACGATTTTTGCTCCTGATGACATTCGGCATGTCTTCGCGGCCGAAGAGCCACGGTTGACAGTACATCAGGGCTTACGACCGAATATTGACCTACATCCTCCGCCAAAGGTCTTGCTTTCCGATTTGCTATTGGAAACGCACGTCCCTCCTCCTTCCCCTCCACGGCCTTTGTTCAAGCTTGCGGAACCACCAGTGCCACCGGCACCTGCACCACGACCACAATCTCCGCCACCTGCGCCTCACACTGTGAGGGATGACGGATACAGTCCGCAAGCGCATCCTTCGCCACGTAACGATACACCAGCTTCTACGGCCACGGCAGCCCAAAACTTTGTTGAAATGGAAACTGCTGTTAGCTTGGAGCAATCGATGGACACCACTGTTCCAAGCCTACCCCCCCTGCTAGGACCCTCAGCGGTGCTGGTTGAGTCCTTGCCACCCAACAACTTACCAGCCGCAGTACAGGATAGCCCAACCTTTATAGCATCATCATCGATATCAAATGTTCATGATGACCACCTGAGTCCTGCAGTACCTGTTCAATTCCAATCGCCTCCACCACCATCACCTGATACACACGACGCAGATATCGCTCTAGCAATCGAAGATGTCCAGTCGCCTGTAGGAATCTCTAGGCCTAGTTCGCCCCCTCGCGAAGATGCCCCAAACCCGCCCAGCTCTGAACAAGGACCCCGCCTCCCGCCTACCACCGTTTCACCATCACCGCGAGCCGTTTCCCCCGCCACATTGAGCTTTCAAGATGTGGTCAGTGCAGATCAGCCAGTGCGGCCCCGTATGACCTCAGATTCCGAGACTAGCCACGTTACTCTAGCCACAGAGCTTCAGAATCCAGTAGACGCTCCAGTATCGGTCACCTCAGTTGGAGAACCCGAAGCAGTGAAATCGCCTGTTACCTTTCCTCCAGCCGTGGAAGCCGTCCCTCTTCCTAAACCAGACAGCTCTCCTACAGCCGACGAGGCGCCGATTCCAGTTGTGAACGTGATTAAAAGCGAGGCTGCTCAAGAGTTGGATATTGGACTGGACACGAATCAGACCCAGGATACAGAGCAACGCGATACAGACATGGATGTTGATGAAGAACTTCTTAGCCTCATTGCTGACGATTTACCTTCACGTCATTCGCAGAACATGCTAAGGAAACAAGAGCCTCCTCCAACTGAAATTAAACTTTCCCCTTCCTTTCATGCCCCTCTCAAACACGAGCCTGTGCTCAGTACACTGCCTCCATCGCATCCATCTCCTGGCCCGAGCTCCTTTACTATCAAATCAGAAAGAATCTCGACGCTTTCTCCGGATGCAATGGCATTCAGTCGTGATCCTGAAGTGAGCACTCTGAAACCAGAGGAACGTCCACCTCAGAAAAAAAAGGTGAATCAGTCAGTGCTTGGCTTTTTGCTTATTTTCTGACATCCACAAGACAAAACAGCATGTACAGCCCAAGAGTCGTACCAAACCAAGCGGTTCGGCAAAGTCGAAGCTTAAAGTATCATCCGATGGTCTCTCGACAGCACCATCGAAAAGCAAAAAGTCATCGACTGCTGTAATAAAGAGCTCAACTGCTGCCGTGCGATCTAGATCCACGTCAGCGATGCCCGTAAGCAGGACCCCTGGCGCCGAGAATAGACCGCCGGGTGAGGCAGAGCTGGATGAGGCCGACGAAGGGATGCAGGACAAGCTGTACTGTGTCTGCAAGACGAAATATGATGATGAGAGGGTTATGATCGCTTGCGACCGGTGTGTTACTGCCAATGTTTGGGTCGCGATCCGCTCATACCCTATGGTCTATGCAGTTGCGACGAATGGTATCACACATCGTGTGTCAACATGCCAGACCTACAAATTGACCTCGTCGACCAATTTATCTGCCCACTTTGCGTGGAAAGTGCGTGTGCCCGACAGTTGTCCTACATTCTACAACGAAGCTGATATGATGTTCAGAGAATCCTCACCTTGATCTGCGCACGACCTGGAAACGCCGCTGCCTGAATGGGCTCAAGCAGCACAACCCAAACTCACCAGATGCATGTCACAAGCCCGCGCGTGGCGCTTTCTCCAAATACTGCTCCGATGAGTGTGGCGTGCAATATATGCACATGCGCATCTCTCTTTGGGTAGATGATGGTGGGAACCGTGATCGACTTTGGGAGACAGTGAAGAATGCAGAGAGACGCGAGGGTGTCGTAGTGTCGGCGCGCGCCCTAGAGGGACAGTCCCGTTCACCTTCAATCACGGGTGACCAGGGAATGTTGGCCATTGTCCCACCGAACATTTCCAAAGCAGATCGCGAACTTGCGAAGCTGCGTGCGCGTCTCGAAACCTTGGTTCAGACGCGCGAAGCGCTGAAAGTTGAGATGGACGTTATCGCATGGCGTGAACAGGTCACCGAGCTCGCAATCCAGCACGCGGACACAATCGAGCAGTGTGGGTGGGACCAACGATTGTGCTTTGGCGAGGAGGAGGTGGCCGAGTTTGGCGCAAGCGTGTTGGAGAGTTATGAAGAAAATCACGCTCAATCAGACGTGGATGGGACGCAAGAGGAAGCAGAATGGTGGTGCACAGGCAAAAAGAAGTGTGACCGACATTCAGGGTGTGTCTATCCTTTGTTTATGGATCGGCAAGGTGCTGACAACATGGTCAACTCAGCTGGCAAAAGTTGCGTGTTGCTGACGTCGAATTTGACAAAGAGACGAAGGACCAGGCATTACAGCAGTTGACAAAGCTAGAGCGCGAGATTCGGAAACGCGTCGAGGATATTCTCGACCCCCATGCTCATCTCGACAAAGCAAAGATGCTCGAACCGACTTCACCTCGGGTCCCTCTTTTGCCAAGTTCAACTCTCAATGGCCAGCCGAAGCACAAGCTCAACGGGGATCAGACAAAGAAGGGCAAGAAAAGGAAGGAGTAGTGTCCCAGACCCTCAGAGGCCTCATCCGTATGTTGTTGGTAACACCAGGCCGGACATTCTTGAAACTGTTGTGTGATAAATGACCTACCAACTGTAATCTACTAGTACCTGTACCTATCCCGCTCCCCCCGGGGCTTAATGAATCTGCCGGAAAGCGGGGATGCTATATGATGCACCTCAATAACCATCACCCTCCCCTCCTTCCTTACAGAAGCCTTTCTGCTCGTACAGTATCTTCGCCTTTGCTTCCTCCCTCTGCTTCTTTGCTGCGACGTCTTGTCGATAATAATCGTCGAGCTGCTTGTAATCAACTTGACGTAGTGGGACGTCATCTTCTTGATCCAAATCCTGTTGAGCAATCATAAATCATCACATAGGTGAGATATAAATATGAGGGTACGATTTCTCCCAACAAGACGACGTTCTCTCCTCGGATGAGGAATAGCCCACACCACTTTTCAGCAAATGTGTTGCCCGCGTATATTCGTTCCACTGTGTCCTCCAGGACGAGGTTAGCTAAACCCAGAAGAGGGTGGAAAGAAAATCAAACGTTCAAACTCTTCGGTGTGTGCACGTCCGCGAGAGAAGAGAGAGGGCGTACCGAACTGATCATAAGAGCGCAGCACGCCATGAAGTTTTCGACCATCTCTCAGGACGACGAGCATCTTTCCTGGAGAAGGATAAAGAAAGAAAAGGAAGACAGGGTGGGGGAGATGCACATGACTGAGCACGGGGAGCGGGGGGCTCGGGCAGACGTACTGTCCACACAGTCTACTAGAGAGCCGGATGTTGTGAATGGGATGAGTGAGTCCATGCGTTCACGTTCGTGACTGTGTTTCAGGTGAGGGTACTGTACTGTAAAGTGTTGGATGTTGATGGGTAATAAGAGTAGGTAGGTAATTAGGGCAGACGGGAACAGAGTCAAGGTGAGATTCAACTCATGATTCTTCTTGCATGCTTGCATCTTCAAGCGAAATCAATACAGTGACTATGACCGCTTCATTTTTCCTAGTAATAAATACTAAATACCAACGATGCTTCTTACGCCTCCTCCTCACAAACCAGACACACAACACATTTTGGGAATACTTGGTGGTAGCTATATATGAGTGTTCGATTTGACAAGAGTGCACAATGCTGATATGGCCGAGTCGTTAAGGCGAGTGATTTGAACTGCGTTACCCAAACGCCGTCAAATATCACTTGGGCATTGCCCGCGTAGGTTCAAATCCTGCTGTCAGCGTTTCTTTTTCACTTTTTTTTTTTTTTCACTTCTTGCCTTTTGCCGACGGCTCCACTCTTCCGCAAATTCGTATGACACGCATTCATCATGTATAACCAGTGTCATCTCAGAATCAGTCCGAGATTGCATGAATCATAACGATGCCCTTCACTAGTCACCAAGATGATCTTTTTTCACATCTTGGTGAACTTCCTCCGGGCAAAAAACAATTTTGACTCGTCGGTTGTGTTTCTGTCTACAGCTATAATAATCCTCGTAGACAACAAGTCGCACGACTCCTGTATTGTGTTGGGAGACACGAAGTCATAAATACCCCATGCTTGACCACGGCTCCAAGTGCTCGAGTTGGAGTATCGCTGCGCGACAGTAGAGATGTTGTAATGAAGGGACGCGATAAAGCGGTGCCAGGTTTCGGGGGGAGGTGCACCGTCCGTAGGGATGTAGTTGACATCATGATCTCATCGATGTGCGAGATGGCGATTTGGCGGAGTGTATCATTGCGCAGCTTGTTCCGCAGCGTTGAAAAAGTCATCATGTCGTCGATGATCACATGAAAATCGGTCGGGTGTGCTATATCCCAGCTGCGCGGACAGCCGACTGCGGGGTTAAAGCGGGCCAGCGCAGCGGCGAACGTCTCGACAGCGTGTGCTGTGCGGTTTATTGTGTGGATTGCTAGTGCACGAAAATTATGTGAAATAGGGAAGTTCGAAGCTGTACCGTACAGAGTAAGCTCATCGACGACCGGGAAGCTCAGAAACCCGACATCGTGCCCAACGCGTCGCGCGTGGTACTGTAGATATAACCGGGGATGCTTTGCGCTAGCCGTGCAATGACGAACTGTTTCTCTGCGATGATGGGTGCAGGGAGATGTCGCAGGGGCCTAGAATAGCGCCACGTGCCTGTCAGAGAGAAGTTGCACATTGACATCGTTGACCCATGGCCACTCACTCAACGTCTGAGGACGTCCATCGAAGACGTTTCGGTACACCTCCCGCCACTTGGCATGGAAACAAGAGTTGCCATGATTAGCTACCCTTATGAGAAACAAAAACGTTCAGCTCAGCCTCGCTGGAATCGGCCACCCTTGTGCTTTACGTTCCACTGGAAAAATAGATGGACGTACGTTTTTCCAGTGCAATACAAAGCCCACGTTGCCACACTGAAAGATCAGCTTGATCTTGATGCGTTCAAACTCGTACGCAATCGGGGGATTCCGCCTTCCTTGGAGGTAGATTTAAAAGAGTGGAATACTATCTGGAGGCATGGGAATCCCGATTACCTGGCCTCCATCTGCAGCCAGATACCAAACTTGAATGAAGCCGTTCGCATAGAAACCCTGCAACTTGAGCTTCTGCCAAAAATATGAGAATCTTACGCTCATCATTTGATGGCAACACCACCTTCCTCAGTCAGTGTACTGTATGCGGCTCACGTCTAGTCACTACATCAGATCATCGACTCAGAGTGGTCTCCCTTGTAACTCAGAAGGTGATGAATCATCCACAGAGTCGCATACAGGAAATTTTTTCATGAGGCCTTGAAACAATTGCACAAGTGAGTCACGGTATGATCGTCCTTTCTATAGTTCGTGTCCTGATAGATAATGATTCGTATGATCGGATCGAGCCATCACGGTTTTGTGGGGTTTCATCTACAGCACCGACCATTCTTTCTCCGTAAACTCCCACTGCCGCTTGCAAGTTGCAACTCTTAAACAGTTCTCGCTCTAGCTACAAACGTTATAACACGCATGGAGTCAACACAATCAAATGTCCTCGATGCCTATGCCTTCTGGTTAGCAGTGACAACTATCACAGGTTTACCATCTGATGTACAGATACAATATATCAGCCCTGCAGAAGACTGTAGGATAATATACATCTCCATTTGGCACTGCAATATTCTAAAGTATATGACCATATGTCCGTCATTAACTCGTTGCTGTGATAAACAATTCAGTTGCGTACTTGGGCCATCAGTAGTCCTGCGTTTTAGTTTCCGAAGGTTGCTCAACTTGAGCAACCACTGGAAACTTGCCAAAACCCGGAAACTTGGACATTTGGAAACGTAGGTCTATTTTTCCGGAAACTCGTCTCAGCCATCTGAATGGTCCCGGATAAATCCACAGAAACCTAGTGAAATTTCGAGTTTGTGTACTAGTCTATGACATACAATACTACAATGTCTATCACTTTATAGTCAAACTATGAAAACATGAAAATTAGTACATATCCTGTACAGCAGAGCACATAGATTTCTAGGTTTCTGGGGTTTCGAGTTGTCAGAAACCTGAAAACCAGCAGGAACCAGGAGATCTAATTTACTAATTTACTGATGTTACAAGGATCCATTATGAGCCTCCAAATCGATCCGTGGATGTCCCCCATGAACATCTCGTCGGAGAGTTATCCACGGAACACTAAGATTCTTTAGTCCTTTCTATCAATAATTAAACGATGCACCCACACTCAATATAAAGTAGATTCGAGTCGAAGGCTGCATCAATGTCCGTAGCGGAGAACGGAGCGTAGTGCATAGGGTTGGATGGGCTATACGTAGCAGTTGATCCACTCGGGTGGGCTGGTGACAACCTGACAACATGGTTCACGGATTAGGAATCAAATATGTCCACGTAGAAAAAACTTGTTCCAACCCGAGGAATGATCCGTGAGCATATTCACGTTCGTCCACTGTAATTGTTTGCTCTGCATAGACAGGCTGCGAATTGTAGTCCACAGGTGAGACAGCAGGCGGGGAGACACTTGTAACACTCGCTCCAGCGGAAGGCGGCGCCGGAGGATGCGGCTGGGATTCGGCGCCATTCTGTTGGTCCTGTTCAACGGCAGGAGGCGAAATCGGTGGTTGTTGTGGTAAATGTTCTGTGCGGATGGTGGCCCCACGACGAGGCCGTGGTGGCTTGCCTAGTATCCCGTCGCGGTTGACACTTGGATGCCTATTCTTGAGATGCTTCCGGTACTCGTAGCGGCGACCCCATCTGAAATCGCAAAAGAGGCACACACTGGGATTGTGGGCCTCTCTGATATGTCGCGTGCGGCCTTGCGGCTGGCGATAACTTGCGGGGCATTGGGAGCACACATATGTCCCTTCGTTAGGAGACACCTAAATACACACACTAGTCGATACACCTGGAGTGTGTCGCCGAAAATTAGGTAACGTACCTCAGCATTAACCTGAAAAGAATCAGGGCTTGGAGGGAGGTCCGAAGAGCCTTGTTGGCCTTGAGGAAGTGCCGTGTCAGAAATGTAGGTTGGTGCTTCCATAGCGAATAGTGAATTGGGATGAGATCTTGCATATTGGCGTCTGGGAGCTACTTAAGTGTCGATGGGAGAACATCAGTGCCACTACGTGCCAGTGCCAATGTTGCCCCATGGGCCTCACGCGAATTAAGCAAAGTCAGGATCGAGTAAACTTGTTTGTAACAGTAAGACGAATCCGGATGCGTGCCTGTGGAACAAATTGTTTCTGAAAATGCGGTTTAAACAAGCAACAATCGATTTTCCCGATGCTACTTTCATGGGGTTAAACCGTTCGGTGCGCGGATAATTCATAAAAGACCGGTTCGAGTCTACCACGTTAGCCGCTTGTGGAAGCCGTGGAACGCGCAAATCTGTGCTTGGTCGACGCGGCGGTCATCTGCGGCGCTGGACCGATCGGCCTCGCGACGTTACTCTGTGCGCGTGAGGCTGGCGCGTATCAGCTCGTCATTACAGACCTCGACGCTGGGCGTCTTGCATTCGCAGTCGCTCTTTTTCAGCTTCTTCATCATCGGGTGGACTCCGCGCGTGCGACGCTATCGTAGCGGCGAAGAAACAAAAGAGGCGTCGCCGCGGATCGTAGACGCAACGGGAGGCACGCGGCCAGACATGGCTGAATGCACGGGCACGGAGATCGATGGAGCGCGATGAAGCTTCAGGTTAGTGGGACAGTGTCGTGGTAGGGGTTGCCAGAGCGAGATGCGTTTCCTTTCATACGGTTTTAGTATCGGCATGCGACCACGTGGCGAGGGCTATTGAGCTTTGGAGGCGGGCATGTTGGGCGACATGAGGAAGTAGATCACGATCGAGGATCGTGAGCGCGTTTGAGACTGAGACGAGGGCGGATCTGAAGAGCGGGGCGATAAAGGTGCAAATCGCGAATCACAAGTCATAGGAATCCCAGGTCGTTGGTTGCGGAATGCCATAAGGAATGTTATCGTGAACTTGCAACGTGCACTGACAGGATAACACGTCAGCCTTACGCGAGGCGAAAGGGCCATTGTTCACTGAACGTTTCTCCTCCCTAGATTGTATTGTCTATGATGAAAATCGTCAGTCACTGGCAACTATCCGGCATGAAAAGAATTACGAATAAAGGAATCACTTCGTAGCTTCGGAAATGCCATTGATAAAAGTGCACAGCAGAGTAGAATATCCCGGACAGGTAGCGTCATCCTCGCGTTCCAAACGAGGTTCCAAAACAGCAGATTGTGTGTGCTTTACTATAAGGATTTGTCGTGTATCATTATTACTTTCCTGTAATTCGTAGTACCAGGGAAGGTTTCCAGAGTTAGTGACGATGTGGTCACTGAAGGAAGTCAACTGGTCTTCTACATCGGCAAATGGGCCTGTGACGGAGATCGTATACGTAACTTGTTGTTTAGTCCGATGGACATGACTTTGAGAATATTCAAGTCGTCGACATCAATGATGTTGCAAGCTCTTGTACGAGATACTGCTGGGGAATGCCCGATGCACATGTTATTCCGAGAGTACACATATAGTCATGCCTGACTATTATCTCTACACTCTCCAAAAAGCACGACGCCAGTAAAACACCTCTAAGACGCAGTAGACGTTTTTCCAAAATGTTCCCACTGTCCGGGTTCTGGCTTCTCTTCTAAAGGCTCCCATCTGCTCATAGTTAGTCTACCGCACAGGTATACGCGAAGAGAAGAGGACATACGCCTTCCATTCTTTCATCTTGCTCACCAGACCAAGTTC